TTGCTTTCATTATTTCGTCTACACTTATCTCCCTACCTCTCTCCACTTCTTCCGGAATTTCTATTTCACTTACTTCAGACGACTCTTCACTCTTAAACACGCTTTCAAAGTATTCCTTCCATCTATTTAAATTCGAAACTTCATCATTCAGCATGCAGCCATTCTCGTCTCGTATAGCATTCATTCTAGGCTGTTTTGAATTTCCCCTGGCAGTTCTTACGAGCTTCCAGAACATTTTAATATTTGCCTGGAAGTTATCAGATATTCTTCTATCATTTTTATCTATCCTTTCTTGCTTTTTCCTTTCTACAACTTTTTTTACTCTCTTATTTATACGTCTAAAGTCTGCCTTTTTTTCTTTCAAACTCATAATTCATACCGCCAGAATTACAAGCTTTGGTTGCTAGTAAATCTAGCCATGCTCTCTTCTTTGCTTCAACTTCCATCCGTACCTCATCATCCCACCACAACGTATTACTTTTCCTTTCATTCGTTCTCTTACTTACACCACATACTTCGGTGGCTGTATCAACCAAAACTTTCTTAACTTTATTCCATACATTCTTCAAGTCTAAATCATTCATACATAATTCATTCAACACCCTTATATTTTCCCTCAGTCTGCATTTATACTTCTCTTTCACACCTTCATCTTGTAACCTCTCTATTCTTATACGCTGTAACGCAGTGGTAGACACAGATGTCCGATGCCGACAACGGTTGAATAGACCATTAATTCGGCATAAGACCAAGTAATGATCCGTCCCTACGTTGGACCCACGGTAAACCCTTGTATCTACCACTGCGCTCCTCGTTCTTTCATCCGCATTTATGAAATCTATCATGCTTCTATCATCCACTCTTTCCCAAGTATATATGTGAATCCTCTTATGGCGAAAGAAAGTGTTCGACACAAAAAGATTCTTTTCCACACATATGGTGAGCAGGTCTTCACCATTCTCATTTATTCTTTCATCGCCAAACGCTCCTAATATCCTTTCATAACCAGACCTCTTCACCCCAACCCTTCCATTAAAATCTCCTAACATAATAATATTTTCATTTTCCTTACATTTCGTCAACACCAGCCTTACCATGTCCCAAAACTGCTCTCGGATATAAGTGGGCTTACACATATCTGGGGCGTACACCCCAAGCACGAACAACTTCTTTAAGCCCACTTTCATTCGTATCCACAGCAGCCTTGGGCTTACACTTTCATACTCTTTCACACATTGACCCATTCTTTCTGAAAGGATGACACCGACTCCCTGGCATGCTCGCTCGGTCTCGTCTACACCAGACCAGTAAGCGGTATACATGCCATGTGCAGTGACATCTCTTCCCTTTCGTTTCGTCTCACTCACACATAACACATCTATTCCTCTATAAACATGTTAATATTATTTTTCATCGGCCTATAAAAGTCCACTGCTAGACGTGGATTTCCTCCGTTAGAGAGCTGGGGAGGATTTGTCTTAAACGTCACACTAATCAGGTAGATTGACCATAGAGTTACCAGACGTCTTGCACCTCCGACGCTGTTCTCCTCGCCGTACTGGCTGTTTTACGTCTGACATTAACGAGATGGTCATACCGCCATCTATCGCAAGCCTATGAGATCACTTTCGGATTTCGGATTTCCCATAGTCGCCTCATCACCCAGAGGATGGGGGAAGTGATGGAGTCTCTTACTCCACCACTTACCGCAACACATTCTTCCTACGTTTAGCTTAAAAATACTTTTTTTATAAGAAATATTCCACTTCCCTTTATGAATGTAAAATATTAAATTAATAAATAGTTATCAAACAAAGGAGACAATCGCTTTTGGGCCCACTAGAAACTTTAACGTAACTTAATTTTATTACACACAAAAAAGATACCAATTTATTATAGTAAAAGGCTTAAAAATTTTATGAAAATGTAACCAGAATCATAAATTCTGAATAAAAAAGTTCTTTTGATATTCGTGAATTGGCTAATGTAATATGAAAAAAATGCGTATAAAGAAGAAAAAAATCTATAAACCAACCTTAAGTACCTATAAATGCTGAATGTACCGACAACTATCTTTTATATTATTAATCATCGACCAGTGCACTATTTTAACTTATAATACCGGTGGAAACTACTAGACAAACGCTTTTAGTTTGTTTTTAGGTTATTGTGATATTCATATTTTAATTGTTCAGTTCTCAGTATTCCCGTTAGATTCGGTAAAACTAATATTACTATTGTAATATATTGGTTAAGTATAAGGAATAAATAGACATGTGTTTTTTTTTTTTATATGATAAGGGTGACAAACGAGCACACAGTCCACCTGATGGTAAGTGGTTGCTGCGGCCCATAGACATCTACATCTATCCTCTATTACAAGTCAAAATGTAGATGCGTTGTCACCCGTGAGGACTAAGATGGAATGCCTCATTTCCAGTAAAAAGGGCCTCCGGCCACCTGCACTCACCAAGCGAAACGCAGAAGTAAACCTCTACTTCACGCTGGTTTTCTGTGAGGTCGTGGTACCACCCCGGTTCGAGCCGGCCCATCCGTGCGACAGCAAAAGCTGCCGCGTGGCTCTACCACTGTTAAAAATTGTTTCATTAAGTTACGCCTGGTTACGGTGGGGGGCCCATTCTCAATACAAAAAGAAATTGTCTGCTATATTTAAATTATTTTTACATATTCTGTCATATTTTTACATCCCTCAATTTTTTATTGTATATAATTGTCGACACGAAAGCCATCTTTCAATTTAAAAGGTGTTCAGCTCTGAGCAGCATCGCTTAGGGGCGAATAGCTTCTCAATTTCATACCATTTCTTCCATATTAATTGCCGAATCAACCCCTGGGCCGTGGAACATAAATAATAAAAAGTGACGTGCACCCTGTAACACCCCAATGTTCCGTCACGGAGCGCGGCCACATTTACATCCCTACTATCGAAGCCTAAACGAATTTGAGGAAGCGATTTATCGCTTGCTTGAATTAAACAAAAATGTGTTATCCACTTGGTTTTATTAAAAAATAGGTAGATATCTCTACCTCATAAAAATGTTTTCTTCCAAGCACAAAATAAAATAAAAAAGATTTTCTTAAACCTCTCACATCCTAAAATATAAAAACCTTATATAGTAGGTACGTAGATATATTCGTATGTAATTTGATAACAAAAATAAAACAGCCAAAAAATAAATCTGTCATAATTTTTTTTTTTGTTATCTTGTTGTTCGGTACAACAGCAATATACCTATCTCCAATTGTGGTTCATTAGAGATGTTTTAAGTCAGTAATAATTCTTTAGGACCTAACTATACTATATATTGTAAAAGTAAAATCTTACTTTGAATAAAATAAATTCATTTAAAATAGTAACTATTTCAATTTTTAGTTTTATTAAAATTTTAAATAAGACAGTTTTATAAAATTGAAAGAAATATTATGTTAATCACACGAGTATGTAAATTTGACGATGCACATGTGCATCTTATATTTTCAAACAGTATCTAGGTATTTGAAAATTAAAAAGATATTAATTTCCTTTTAAATATATGAAATTTGATCATACATATTTAAAGTACGTGGTACGTGGTAGAGGCATGCTGCAGCTATTAGTAGTATAGTTGTAGCACGAATGGGTCGGCTCGACCGGGGAAGGACCACGCTCTCACAGAATACCAGCGTCAAATAGCAGCTTAACATTGCTGTGTTTCGTATGGTGAGTGTAGAGTACGGAGACCCTTTTTTACTGGAAAAGAGGCATTCCATCTTAGTCCTCATAGGTGACAACGCATTTGCATTTTGATTCGTAAACGAGGATAAATGTAGATGTCTATGGGCCACAGCAACCACTTACCATCAGGTGGACTGTGTGCTCGTTTGTCACCCTATCCTATAAAAAAAATAAAAGTGGTTATTTGTCCTTTGCACCTATATTGTTTTATCTGCTTGCCCTGCAGGTAGATTGGTAAATAACACCATGTAACATTAAGTCCGCCTTTTTGTACATGGTGTACAAATAAAACTTAAATAAATAAATTATATACGAGGTTATTAACGTTATCTTTTTTTTTTCACTAATACTAATAATTATCTTTTTATTACGAATAATACTTTAGTCAAATAACAAATAATCTACAGATATCTATCTAAGTAAATATACATAAAATGAAAGTGTCCGTCGATAATGTTGAAATAACTGACTTCTATTTTTTGCTCAGGGGGTTGTTTGCATGCTGCTAAGACATAAATAACAATTTTTAAAATTTTTGTCTGTCTGTCCGTGCTAATCTTTGAAAGGACTAAACGGATTGTGCTGAAACTTTACGAACAGATAGTCAGGAATGTCGAGAGAGATCTAGGTTATAACTTTTTCGAGAAACTCAAAGATTTTTGATTGAACAATTGATAAAATAAATAATCTTAAATCGAAATAACACCACATTAATGGATCTTATCCAGACGAAGCCGGGACGGTGCGCTAGCAATAAATACAGTAAAATGTTATTATCTACTTATTGTACATTCAAAGTGTATACTTTGAATGTAACTTTGTGCCTACTAGTCTTTTTATTATTAGGTTTTAGTAGAGCTATCATAATTATATCGTTACAATAATTTGTAGTCCTTAGAAATCTAAATTAACTGTTATTATAATATAACTCTAAATTGCTAACAACAAAGCTACAACGGTTCACATAATTTTAATTAATGGCACATAACTAGAAGTCTTTGCACATAACATAATATATTTTTTAGCAAACATTAAGTCATACATAAATCAAAAAGTTGAATAATTTTTAAATATAGCTATATATTTATATATGTAAAATAAAATATTATGCATTAAATTTAAAATACCGTTTTTTAATTAACTACCAGTACTTAATTTCGATTGCTACGTACGCACCATATTGAAGGACTTATGCACAAATAACTTTTATTGCTTCTAATACTTTTGTCTATATTCCTATGTAAGTACACTAAGTAATTAGCCACTATCGAAGTTCCAACGACTGATGAGAACATAAGTCAAGCATGTTAGGATTAAATGGTAACGTAAGTTGAAGAGGTGCGTATAATGGAACTTGGTAACAAATTGGTGATGGCCAAATTGAGGCAGACATTGCTAAAAGCTCAGGGTAAGGGACTACCGGATTATTAACTTCACTCACACTCACTACGTCTTCACAAGATTTGTCAATTTCAAGGTCACTAGATAACAAACTATCAATAGTAAAAGACTTCTTCGGCTTTACTTTTGTTAACATAGCGTTCAAATTTGAAACTTGAAACGTTTGCAGCGGCGGTACGCGTACAGGATTCTGACTCGACAGGAACAAACGGTTGAACGATGCCAGCACTGCTAGCTCAGCGTTCAAAGTATCTTTTTCCCCCTTGTGAAGCTTGAAGCGCTTTCTGCGGCGGAGTAACGAACCGTTTTCAAACATATCGAAAGCCTGTGGATGTAACGTCCAGTAGGCGCCTTTGCCCGGACGGTCTGGACGCCGCGGCACCTTCACGAAGCAGTCGTTGAAGGACAGGTTGTGTCGCAGCGAGTTCTGCCAGCGCTGCGTGTTTAACCGATAGTACGGGAACCTGTCCGTGATGAACCGGTAGATCTCCGACAGCGGTAGCATGCGCTCAGGTGAGCTCCAAATTGCCATCGCGGTAAGTGAAATGTATGAGTAAGGTGGTTTTTGTTCGCCGTAAGAATCGCGCGACGGCCTCGGCATCGTCGCCAGCGACAGTGGAGTTAGCGTGGCTATGTATCTACACCGAGACAGGCGTGGCGAGCCGAGGCGGAGCTATCCACAACTCCGCCTCTTGCCCTCTCCGCCCTCCGAGCTCGTTGCGGCAAACAATATGATAACGAGTATGCCACTCGCCGGCAAACCGCATCTCTCGCTGCCTGGTAGATACTATCATTACTACAATGATTGACTACGCACTTGCCGCTTGTTGGTTTTATAAGTAGGTGTCTACTTTCGTTAGTCGACCATTTTTAACAAGGCGTTGGTTAACACTGTTATTTATTAAAACAAAACAATATAGCTATGTTTATGAATAGGTACGCGTATCACGTTACTAGGTACGTAGTGAATACATATTATGTAAATATCTACTAATTTAATTCCTTTTGTAATTAAAACATTCTTAACCATAGAGAACATGTTCAAATGATTTTCTTTGAAAAATATAAAATGTTTATGTTTTATACCCCATATACCTACTGGCTTACTTTTCGTGATTGACATAAAATTAGAGCACAGATATTTCAAATACCTACTTACAAAAAGGAAAAGTTTTCATCTGTTTTCACTTACGAATAGACTTCGTTATTAAGCTTACTTAAAATGTAATGTTTTAAATAGCTCTATTATAAAGGATTGGTAAATAAAGTGATTGAAATGTACACCAGGTTACTTTTAACTAAATGTTCAATTAAGCTGGTGAAATACTTACAGCGCCATCTATGTGTGAATAGCTGAATTAGATACTTTATAAATTACTTAAGAAAAAATGCATTTAAATAAACATTCAATCAAAGAAGAATACCTTCACTGGATAAACAGGAAAATAATCATGTGTAAACCAACCAACCAACCAACCAAAAAAAAAACTGGCCTAGTCTTTGTCGGGCCACGCACAATGTAGAGGTAGGGTTCCCTAGTTACCCGTCACAATACGTGAGCTTCCTTTATAATGAGCATAATAAGTGAGTTCAAGGTTTGACCGCTATAACGACTAAAAATGGGCCTAAATAGGAAGATCGCAACTGAAGGACTTATTTTCAAATCAGCCTTATAGGGAGTGGTATTCAAAAAAGATTAAAAAACTTTAGAAAAAGTAAAGCTAATAGTAGTAATGCATATAAGTCGTTTTCTTCATAAAATGTTTCTTTTTAACAGTTTACAATAACATTACAAAGTTATTAATGCAGTTAGTTTTTGGTCATTTTCTAAGGAGTTGTAACGAAATTTTTAGAAATCCAAGTGAATTTTATAATTTGGTCGACTAAGTATTACTCATTAACTTCTTAATTCTACTTAGCTGTGATAGTTTTCCTTTTAACTTCATTATATATATCTACTACTATTATGTATACTTTTCACATTTCCGAAAACAGCTGTTCAGTTGGTGGGGGGGGGGGGGGACATGACTAATGAAAAATACCAATTTAAAGTTTAAAAAAACATGCGTGAGTATCGTAGACAACAAAGTTGGAACGAATGTCAAAACAAATACAAATAAATGAATTACTAGCATTTATTAAAATGAAGCGTCATTTGAAGTATTTCGCAAACGGACTCCTAAATCTAAAAGATGTTGTTCCACACCCCCAATGTTATTGAAAGACATATCCAACGATACCCCACATGATGGAATAGACGGGTGAAAAATAAATCATCCTCCATTTACTTGTATGGGAAGTATCCAAAACTAAAATGTTTTTATGATTTTATTTCACAGTTTTCTAGGCGTATCTGTAACCATGCCAAATTACAGCAGTCTCTGAGCAAAACCTCGGACGGACGGATGGATGGACACGGCGATACTATAAGGGTTCCTTGTTGTATAACTACGGAACCCTAAAAGCCAATTTAAGTCAAAACCGATTATTCACCAGTTATTTTAAAAAATACCGATACTTCACACTTGACTGCAAGCTATGGCAACTTCGCCAAAAAACGACAACGACAAGAAAGCAACGCGAAATGGATCAGCCATCGAAATTTTAAAAACTTAATTAGAAACCAGTTACAAAAGTGATTATACTCTGGAACCCTGGATAGCCCAACAAACATGGTAGAGCCATGCTGCAGCTATGGTTGTAGCACGACCGGGGAAGGACCACGCTCTCACAGAATACCAGCGTAAAATAGCAGCTTAACGCTGCTGTGTTGCGTATGGTGAGTGTAGAGAACTGGAGACCCTTTTTACTGGAAACAAGGCATTCCATCTTAGTCCTCACGGGTGTGGTGTGGGATGGGTGCTCGTTTGTCACCCTTATCCTATAAAAAAAACATCGTGGCTACTTTTTCGGATGAAAATAAGCTCCTTATTAATTTTTCAACAAGTTTTTATTTAAATATATATGCGTTCATGCCACTTCAGTACCCTAAAAAAGTCTAGCACATAGATGCGATATTTTTTATAGGATAGGCGAACCAACATACGACGACACACTTCATGGTAAGTGATTATCGCCGCCCCCCTAACATCTACAACATCAGCCTCTTAACAAAGAATAGACATACTTTTGAAGGTTCATACATCCATATGACAAAAGGTCTATGAAAACTGGTGGTGACATTAAATTCCACAATGTGGTCTAACATAGAAGAAATTTCGTGGTAAAACGCAGAGTAGTGGACTGCCAAGCATCTAAATGATGTAAATGCAAGGAGTTCATTCGCAGTGTATCTACCTACGATGGTAGGAAGTAGGAGCCGTGGTAGCTCAGGGCCTAAGCGTGTACTGTAAATGCACTCAACCGATCCCACACCAATTTACCACGTGCTCGGCGTTGAAGGAAAACATCGTGAAGAAACGTGTATGTCTGAAAAATGAGAAAAAATAAAATATTTCGAAGACATGTGATGTTCGTCAACAGGCATTGGGGCAGGACGGACGGCGGACATTTCCTTGCCCTAAAACGCTGTCGGAAATGAGAGGAGACCTGTGCCAAGCAGTGACACATATAGAGGCTGTAACTTTAACTTTTTTTAACTATGCTGGCAAAATATTGCAACTGGAATTAATCAGAACAACTCCTCGGAGCACTTCCTGTGATAAAGTGATAGAAAATGCAAAGAGATGCTAAGTAATAGACAATTTTAAAAATATTTATTATGAATTAGTAAGCGTGACAAGTTATATGTAAGTTCCTGTGACGTACCGCACGCGCGTCACTCATTGCTATTCGGCGTGTTCTGTGTTAGTCGGGTTGCAGTCACATTGTCGAAATATTTTACAGCTCGTCGGAACGTTGAGACACCATTGTGGTGATGTGACCCAACTTATCGGGACGAATGGCCAGTGCCTGATTTAGAGTTCCGACAGGCCTAGACTAACTATGAATATGCCCCCCACCCACCAGCCTGTTCTGTCTGTGCCTGCCCAGCCCACGAATATATTTACTAGATTTCTTATATTTACGCGAACACTACACATTGAATAAAACTATTTTTATGGGGGACCATGGGTTGCTTAACAGCATCCGAAACGTTGTGATTTAAAATATTTTACTACATATTATTTATGCTGTGGTTTTACTAGCTTTCCACACCGCGCTTTCACCTACATAAATGCAAATGTTTCCAATAGTAAGTGTCGACCATCGCCCATGAACAACTGCCGATCAGAAAGAATTACGATTCGAACCATCTTTTGCTGGATAGCTGGCACTGGGTTGTCCCGGGCCAGCAACGAGAACAGTACTCATGTGAGGATAAAGTTGCAAGCGGTGTGCCGGCAAGAAGTACTGTCCTGCTCTTCTGTGCAGGAGTGCCTTGAAATTGATGAGATACGACAAAGCGGTTCTTTTTAGCGGTAAACGCGCAAACTTGTGTCTTCTGAAGTTTAAACTGGGCTAGAGTCTTACCCAATCCGAGACTTTGTTTATTAAAGACTCGACTTCAGACACAAGTTTGTTCCGATACTCGATGACGTGTTTCCAAGAAATATTTGCACGGCCTATGTAAAAAGCATCACCAGTGTGTAACACTGGTGATGCTTTACAACCAGTAACAGCAGCAAATAATTGATATACAGAGGAAACAGCGTAGGTCATAGCACGCAGTCTTGTGGAACACTAACATTAATAGGCTTGTAGTCGGAGTATGCACCGTCTACCTTCTACCTTGATGCTCCGATCTGATGAAAATTGATGATCCTGTGGCGGCGCTGTCGTCGTGCCACAAGCGATACGCACCGAAGCCTAAATCACCCTATCAATGTTCCGAAGTACTCCACTATATATAGAAAAGCTCTGTACAAACACACGGAGCGTGAGCCGCTCTCCGGGTTGAACGCCTTGCCCGTCGGAAGATCTTCCCTTTTCCTTCCACAGAGAAATTGGAAAACATGCTACCTTCGGAAACCTCAACTTCAAGCTTTCGTCATCTTCTTCAAGGACCCCATCTATTCGCTCCCGAGCAGGAATTGTCTGCATTCTCTAGGTCCTGCAAGCCATTTAGCTTTGTAAGGTTCATCGTAGTACTGGAATAACACTTCCTCTTCATTCAAGCTACCATATGCGCTACAGCGTTCGGCTCGGCTCTGAGCCTTACTCCTCGCCTTTGCTTCACGGCACTCTCGCAAATTACTTACCTTTTTCTCGACTCTTCGCAGCCTAAAAGGCCATCCATGTTACTTGCACATTCGTCGACAACTAGGCTGCACCATCGACCTCCGGTCTGTGAAGGAAGGGTAATGTGGCGCTATTGTCACACCATAAGCGAAACGCACCGGAGCCTAAATCACGCTATCGAAGTTCCGAATTACTGCACTATATATAGAACAGCTCTCTACTAGCACAGGGAGCGTTGGCCGCTCCCCGGGTTAAACACCTTACTCGGTGGGAGTTCTCCCCTTGTCATTCCACGGCCGAAATCCAATTGCACAATTTCTTTGGAAGCCCATATGGAGGAAGCTTCTATAGAAGCGCTTTGTGCCAAAACCCGTAGAAGGCCTTCGCTATGTCCAAAGTATCTACAAAGGCCTCCCTCTTAGACTCTACTGCTTCCGCTCATCTATCAGTCACGTAAATTAGAAGGTTAGAACTAGAAGCTGGTGGTCCTTAAGGTACCATGGGCCATTGAGTCGTTCTCCCTATGCAGAGATGGAACAGATGGCTGAAAGACGTTCTCTTGGACAGCCTAGGTAAAACACCTTAATAAAATTAGAGGTAGAGAAGAGAGCTTGAGCAGTTTCAAATCATTAAATCACGTCCAGTCAGTCAACGAAAGACGAAAGATACCAAATAATTCTTATTTTTACAATGTATTTATTTGTTTTTTACCAAAAAGAAAGAAAGAAAGAGTAACAACTAAAATACTTGCGACACTTTACTCTATTATTTATTGAGAATATTATACCCAATTTCATTCTGTACATAAGTGGTGCTTACAAAGGCAAGCTCAGCGCTCCCTCGAACCTTGCGCCCTAGGCTCCAGCCTGGTTAGCCTGTAGGTAAATCAGGCCTTGCGCCTATCCAAGACGCTCTTGTGGCCTCAATAAAGATCTTCTCGTAAATGTCTGTCTTAAACATCCAGACCAGCAACGAGTCGCGGTATCAATGGCTTTCCAAAAGTGCAGCCAAGTGCCAGCAAATGCCGTGCATCACTTCACATGTTTGCCTGTACTCAACGCGTCACGCAAATATAGAAAATAGGAGATCTTCATACCCAGCAATACTTTTACGGACTTTAGATGATGTCCTCCAGAACGAATTTCGGTCACGGCGGCCATTCTCAACGGAGACTAGCTATCTTGCGCAGGACAGGATTATAGTGCATGAGTGTGTGCACTCTCTATTCCCTCACTCTCATAGTCCGATGGTACGGTAATCCGACACGACCGGAGAGATCAGGCGCAGGACCAACGGCTTTACGTGCTTTCCGAGGCACGGGAGTGAAACAACGTCAACTTCCTGACTCCGGGCAGCTACTGAAAATTTCTTCATAAAAACCCAATAAGTGATTTTGCCTCGACCCGTGATTCTAACCCGGGACCTCATGATCAGTAATCGCGTTTACGACCACTAGACCAGCGAGACAGTCTAGTTTAGATCAATTTGCTAAGTTAATCCTTTGTCCGTGTGCGTTGTTTCTACAAGAATATGTCATAATAATTTGAAAACAAGCACAAATAATTTAATGGCCCAAGTAGACGTAAAGTAAAAATATTAAATAAAAAATTCATCATTCATTCCTATTTTTTTAGATAGGGTAACAATCGAGCACACAGTCCACCTGATGGTGTTTGCTGCGACCCATAGACATCTACATCTATCGTCAATAGAATCAAAATACAGATGCGTTGTCACCCGTGAGGAGTAAGATAAAATGCCTCTTTTCTAATAAAAAGGGTCTCCGGTTCTTTACACTCACCATACGAAACACAGGAGTGTTAAGCTGCTATTTTACGCTGGTATTCTGTGCGAGCGTGTTCCTTCCCCGGTCGTGCTACAACTATACTACTAATATAGCTGTAGCATGGCTCTACCACGTATAAAATCCTATCGAAAGTCCACTGACGAACATAGGGCCCCCTCTTTAAGACATAAGGTAGCGTTTCGCTTGCACTTGAACTTTTACTATTTTAACACACACTTATTGGTTTGACAGAGGACGTTAATCCTAAATCAAATCAATTTTTTTTATAAAATAAGGGTGACAAACGAGCACACAGTCCACCTAATGGTAAGTGGTTACTGTGGCCCATAAACATCTACATCTATCTTCGTTTGCGAATTAAAATGCAGATGCGTTGTCAGCCGTGAGGACTAAGATAGAATGCCTCTTTTCCAGTAAATGGATCCCGGTTCTCTACACTCACCATACGAAACACAGCAGCATTAAACTGCTATTTTACGCTGGTATTCTGTGAGAACGTGGTCCTCCCCGGTTGAGCCAACCCATTCATGCTACAACTATACTATTAATATAGCTGCAGTATGGCTCTACCACGTAAAATAATAATATAATCATAAATCCTAAACCTGCAATCGTTTTATAAGTTGTGGTAGTTGTCACAAAAATGTTTTCCTGGAAGGCTCTTGTGTAAAGTATTGACAGACAAACAGGCAATACTTGTAAACAAACTATTTTATTATCGTTAGTTAATTGTACTATGCCTATAACCTTTACGCAAGTGCAAGCAAGAAGTTGACAAAGTTTTACGGCAATCTGATGAACAAACAAATATAAATTTTTATATTCGATTTATGAAAACCCCCCAAATATTCACAATCTTAGTTATATTTTAAATCGCAGGAGAAGGTTATTAGTACAAAAAAAGACATAATTTAAAACGATTTTTGTATATATATTTACACATTAGTTTCAACATGATTTATTTGTTTGCAATATTGTACATTTATCTAAACTTTCGCAAGGCAATAATATAAAAATTGTATATAAAACTTCGTGCTACTATTATATAAAACAGCTTCACAACTTTGAGGTAAGTTCTGGAACCGCCTTAAACAAGTCTGCTACTAATCCGTGGTCTGCGACCTGAAGCAAAACATATAATAAATAAAAACTTATGCTATAATATCTGTTATTTGGTGATTACCTCAATTTCCCGAAGATGATTTAGCAAAATGCCGGTAAAATCGTCAGGATCCAACAGATGATGGCGAAACCATCTAAAGTACGGCCAACGAGAAGCAATACCAAATGTAGATAAAACCAATGCTAGGTTAATAGGAATAGCAGGCTTAACTTTTTGATAGTTAGATTATATATTTAAATAGAAAATATAGTTTTAAAAAAATGTCTAGCAAACCAAAAAAATTGACTTTTTATAAATTTTGTTATAATTTAAATTATTGCATAATGTAGATTTAAATTAAATAACGAGAATAATAATAATAATGTTTCTGAATATCGCTTGCCTAACAACTGTGTGTCCGGTGTATGGTAACAGGCTTGCCCCCTGTTACATAGAGACTTAAATATATCAGGCACAATGTGGGTGTTAATATCTCCGCTGATGATATGTTATGTTATGTTTATGGAAATGAGGATACAAATATTTTTTTGAGGAAATTATTGTTTATTCAGTCAGACGCGGAGTCTGTAGAGTAAGAATCAAAAATAAATCTGTTGATTTATCTCTCGATGTACTTGGTTGTGGCACCATCATTAACCGATTCGTTGCGGCACCGATTTTCGACAACTTTTAGTTGTGGCGGCGAACAAATATTTGATGACACGCCTATTGTGCCTTCAGCCATGTGTAAAAATAATTTTCTTTTTTATGCTTTTTTCACTTGTTTAGACCTAATTAAGTTTAGTTGACATCAAACATCAGTTACAAACGGAAGGATACTTGTTTTTAGTGGGTAACTAAGTGTTTTTCTATGTGTTTTCTTTGAAATTGAGAGTAAGTGACTGTTTTTATGCAGAGAACCTTTCGTACAATTTTTTGTTTTACAAAAAAATCATTTATATAAGTTGGTACAGCTAAATCACCCTGGAAAACCTTGGTTTTTATTAAATTAAATTTGTAAATATCAAACAATCAAGAACCTTAATTTGGAAAAATAAGGTTTATGATTCATTGATATTTAAAAATGTTAGATATTGTTTAATGTTATACAAATGTAAAAGTAAAGTCAATCTGAAAACGTCTAAATAGTAAGAAAAGCAAAACAAGTGTTTTCAAAAGGATAAAAACGCCGGCGCTATACGGCGGCGGATTGACACAAGACTATTTATTAGCGAACTTTTTTTATGCATGAACGGTTTCGAACTGTTTCAAGCAAAAATAAACCTTATACCATATCACAAGAGCACATGATACTTCGTAGGTCTATTCGGCCATATGATAGTAATAAGACGGCAGTTCAACCATTTTAAGCAAAATAAAAACAATAAGACAAACGCATTTTATTTTTAACAGGAGACTTGTTTTCCAGAAATTTATTTACAACTTGAGTTTGTGAGTGATCGCAATGAGTGCTATTATTTATTAATTATTACACTATTTTTCCACAACATTATTTAAAACCCACAAAGTAAAAAGTGTACCATGTACAAGTTTAAAAAAAAAAGGTTGTCAACCCCTCTAAAAATTTCAAATTTTCAAAATATCCAGAAACGAAGCTGTAGGCATGAACTACTTGCGAAATAATGAATATTTTGTTCTGGATAAATTTTCGAAAAACGCAATTTGACCGAGTTATAACGATTTTTAAAAAGACACGACTCACGTGTCATACGCCACACACAAAAATAATCGATTGCACGCCTGGCGTGTCATCCGCACTGAACCGGTTAACCACTCTTAATAAAAAACAATTATCAACAAAACAAAATAACAATAATTAAATAAATAACAAAAATTTTAACAAATAACTTGTATTACCACGAGCGTGTTCCGAAACGGAATGAATCACTATTATTACTAAAATGGCCTCCCAAATGTTGGCGAACCCGTCTTGACTCTGACATGTTTTTGCCGGAAAAACAAGACATTACGACAAATACACACGATGGAAAAAGATAGATAATAGATTGTCAACTCCACAGTCGTTTTTAAGGTAAATGACCTTTCGTATCGCTGCTAGTTGGCCGTACCATAATTCATGCTGAAATTATTTATTTATTTATTTATTTATTTATTTATTACAAAGTATAGTTATTTAATAACATCCCACAGTACAAATAAACTTACAAAAGTTTTTCCATGTACCGCCATTCGTAACTTCGATCATGTTCAATCGGTTCGCATTGCGACAACTTATTTAATGACGTATATAAATGGTGTGACAAAATAGCAAGATGTTTTTTTTATCTAGGTGTGTACCAAAGCAAAATATGGTTAGTATTAAATGAAAATTAGTAAATTAGTAATTTTTTTTTATTTATATATATTATATTATTGTGTGTGTTAGTGTTATATGTTTAGTTTTATATTTTAGTTCAAGTTATTATTAGGTATCGTTAACAGTTTGTCGATAAAATACTGTTTAAGCATATATTTAATATTTTTTTCAGTAAGTTCATTTTTTATTGGTTTGGGAATTTGGTTCAAAAGAGCGGGAATTTGATATTGTAATCTAAATTTTCCGTACATAAATGCAGCAGCAGATTCTGTTACTATAGAGGGATATTTTGCAATAACCGGCTAAATTTGCAGAGAACGTTCAGAATAAGCAATGGTGAAGAAAAATTAATTAAAAATCTCAAACAACCTGTCTTTTTAATCTATTAAATTCAAAATTAAAATAATAATGAGTGTTATTGATATTGCTTGATATACAGGGTTATTTTTCAAAGAGTAGCCAAATTTTAAACTTAAGTTCAAATATATAAATAATGATATACCGTTATTTTAACTGATTTTACTGGGCGGGCACACATTCGTAAGGGTCGATCGGTAGGCAAAAACGTTGTTACCCATAAATCACAATCGATTTGGGATAATTTCAAATAAAAGTAAAGGCCTTATTTACTCATATTTTCAAAAATTTATATCATTATTTATATATTTCAACTTAAGTTTAAAATTTGGCTAGTCTTTGAAAAATAGCCCTGTATATCAAGCAATATCAATAACACTCATTATTATTTTAATTTTTAGTTTGATATATCTTGACTGGCAGCATTCCGGAAATTACAATAACAAAAAAAGCTGGATATTACAAATAAACCTTGAAAATAGCCGGTGCATGTTGAGTGTACAACCAGTGTGTGTTGCTATTACTGGCAACACGCACTGGCAATGACATATGGATCTGAGATCTAGTCCTTCAATGCTGACCGAATGAGGAAGATCAAGATCGCTCTGAGAGCTATGGAGAGGGCTGTGCCTAGAGCTTTTCTGCGTGATAAGACTTCGTAATGAGGATATTTGCAGCAGAACCAGAGTAACCGACATAGCCCAAGGAATTAGTAAGCTGAAGTGTTTATGTGCCAGCCATATAGCTTGAAGAACTGACAACTATTGGGGTGGAAAGGTTCTCGAGTGGCAGTCTCGTTCCAATAAGTGAAGTGTTGAGCGGCCAATCTAGTTGGAGTGACAACCTAGTAAGACATGCAGGAACTCAAAAGATACAGGTGACTCAGGACTGCACTTTGCGACATTCCTAATAATTTTGAATGCATTAAAATTTTTCTGGAAAGACCTGATGCTTGTTACCATAAATTATTCTTAATATTTTTTAATTTCACTAAGAATTACCTGGAAAATGGGCGCCTCCGGGTCCTTGTTGATAGCAACAATGGTCTTTGAATCCTTCATGCCTGCAAGATGCTGAATAGCACCACTTATTCCCACAGCGATGTATAGGTCCTGAAATTATTGTTAATGGTGTTTTAATAACAAAATAATTTCTTAACAACACCACTAATAGTGCTGTTCTACATTGTTTTACTTATACATACTTGACTTTATCATGCGTACAATTATATAGTGTTATATACTTTATATCATCATATACCAGGGCTAATAATCATCCTCTCACCAGACGTCGCTAGTCAGGACTGAGGTGACTTTATTAGCCACACTGCATTGTCATTATTTTTTGTTTTATTTTTTCGTTTTATGTTTTATTTTTTCGCTTTATTTAGGATAACATTATTGAGTTTTAGAAAGTTTTTCGGTTTCTAGTAACACGAAACATTGCCATAGTCATGTTCTCTTTAACTTTTTTTACATTTTTAACTCTATTGTTAGTTTTTATACTTTTAAGAACATCCGTAGGTTATTTTAGCTATTTTTAATCTAATTAATATAAAATATAACTAACATTTTAAAAAGAAATTTACCATAAGAATGAACCTTATACTTACAGGTGCTACAATTTTTCCCGTCTGACCGATCTGCAGGTCGTTGGGCACGAAGCCAGCGTCCACTGCAGCACGGGAGGCGCCTACCGCGGCATTTAACTTGTCGGCAAGATCGTACAATAATTTGAAATTTTCGCCAGACTTCAATCCACGACCTGCAATTTGGATTTTTTTAATAATGTACGTAAGTGTAATTGAACAATGGGGATAACACGTTTTATCGACATTATTAATAATAATTCCTTAATTAAATTTATAATAATAATGAAAATAATTTTTTGATAAAATTTTCACTATACCTCCAGCTACAATATTCTTAGCACTAGTCAACTCCGGTCTGTCTGACTTTGTCAATTCTTGAGAAATCCACTCCGTCAAATCAGTTTTGTAATCACCCTCGGGAGCCTTTTCTACAGCTGCCGACCCACCTTCCAAAGGCTCTGGTGCAAATGCAGTACCTCTGACAGTTATAACTTTAATCGAATCTTTTGCCTCCAAAGTTAAGATGGCATTTCCTAAAATTTTCATACACATCATTATTTAAATATTATGTTATGTTCATTAATACTAAAATACATTAACTCTATTTATTAAATTGTACTATAAGAAGAAATAATAAATTATACAAATGAAATAAAATAAAATATTTTCCATAATTCCTATACTAATTTTAATCTACTTCTACGTCTTCAGTAGTATTAAGTCGACTTTTCCATGTCTAAACATACCAATTACACACATTCAACACAGTCTAGGGATTTCATGTTTTGAGCATAACTTTGAAAGTACTGGTCATTTTGATCCTGGCACATTTATTTTCTGAATTCTAAATTCCTTGAGGAGTTTTGGCCGAAAAATGAGCGTTAGTAGATTGTCGCTTCTGTTTCAACGTTACTAATGGTTTGAAGTTGATTTTGATACGTAGAAGTTATGCGAGTTTGTATATTAAGTATCTGGGCGTGTAAACTTTTAGTAGAAATGACGAAACAAGTGCTCCAATGTTGATAACCTCACGTTATTGAATTGGTTTTGTTGCGTTAAGAATTTAAGATACTGTCATTATCGACTGTACGCTGTGTTAAGCTATTATCAAAATCTCCCAAAAATTTCGCAATGTGACGCATCAGCATAAAAGTTCAAATAAAAGTATTGTAAAGGTTAATTTTTCATTACTTGACTCGGTAAAATTACCTTCATCTTATTATCAAATATATATCTTCAACCAAAGCGTCATATTAGTATACCTGATATGGTTACCCTTTATTGGGATTTTTCTTCTGTATCTTGGAGATGGTTTGTAAACATAAATTGCACATTTGTTTATAGGCCATAAAACACTTGTTCAAATGCTTAACTGCACTACTAAGACGACAATTTCTAGTTGTAAAATGGTTTAGCTACAGAGTCACTGGTGAGGTGGTTGAACGAATTAAAGTAGGGTTATCGCCATAAGACAAATTACAGTGAGAAGACAACCTAATGTTACGTCTAGGCAATTGGTTTTATAGCTGCAGTCAGAACACCAGGTTCTGACCGATCAAATTCTGAGGAGAAGATTGTGCAAACTCAACTTCTATGCTTAAAAACCACGCCAAATTTCAGCACTAAGAGGTTCAGGTGTTATTCACGAATGGAACCCGGTTCGGCTTCTATCCAGAGTCATTAAGAACACATGTTTAAGAAGCACCTGGACGTAAGTGCCGACATCATCACATCCATGTGAATGTGGAACAATCATGTTACGGGTGGGAATAGACCTTGGCGGAAGAACTGACCTCGTTTGGGTACACTGCAATTTGATTGCTGTAAAATACCATGATGAGAAGCCTATAGTCTGACCTCAATGGGGGAAATGGGTCAAGATTTTACGGTTACGCATGATAGTGCCCGCCCACATACGACTCGAATGGTAACTCCGTGGCTGCAGCATCAAAATGTGGCGATTCTGAACTGGCCACTCAATCCCATGATTCAATTCCGATCCAGCATGCGTGGGACATACTTCAAAGAAAGATTACGAAATCTCTCGAAAGTCTGGTGCTGGTGAAGATGAAATTTTCATACATCTTTGTCGAATGAGGGAGATTCCACTAGGAGATGATAATACTGATAACATAATTTTGAATATGAATAAATATTGCAGATGCGTTATTTAGATCCAAGTACCTTTTACAGATTATTAATTTTTATTTTCAACAAATTTAACGTTTCATTTAATTTTGTTTCTTTAATCACTAATAACAGAAAATTTATATTTATAACAAGGTCATTTTTATTTCTGTTCTTGATAATTTCTCTACAATACATGAATAATGAAAATATCCATAGATGAGTGGTTATTTTATTAATTTACTTTCTGCTCTGTTTTACTATTTTTTATATTCTTTCCTTATTCCTGGTAGATTTATTATAGAAAACGAAAAAAAACTATAATAACAACAAATTCCTCTACCATTACGATTCTTTACTACAACACTTAGTTTTATAACATAGTATTTTCTAATATTATTATAATTAAGTATTTTTTACAGAAACACATTTGCATATTTACGTTAATATATTTCAAATTCCATTTCTATACATGTATATCCAGACCACTCAAACATTTCCATTTGTCAGGGATGCAATTCATACAAACATGAAAATTGTAGGTTCCTTAATGATTGGCCTGCAAATTGCTGAATTAAGCAAATAAAATATAACCATTATTGTGGAGTATATAGAAAACCAATAGGTATCACAAACTTTACTACCAAATAGTAAAATATATCCTACGCTTATTATGGCCATAATGCTGCATGGGTTGTGTAATAACAGTTTTGACCTTAGTTATTTCACCAATAAGTTATATTACATTGTACCGAGAACTGTAATTCGGCGTTCAGTGTGTGCACCTTGGTGCAAACGCTGGAGTGCGGGTACCCCTCCACCGCCTCTTAGATAATTATAATACACACTTCACAGAATGTGATATTTTTGCTCTGTCATCTTTAAAGTCTAAAAGAATGATAATTAATTTGCTAACTGACTATAATGATTTATAATTATGTAATAATTAGCATAATTACATACACTCTATAGATTGCGCAATTGTATTGAACATAAGACTAAGCATATATCTAATATTACTTTGTGGGCTTTGGTGTGGGTTACATGTTAATTACTCCTTTATAAATTAATTGTCTTGTATAACATTAATGTGTAACTGTTTTTTGTCCCAATAAAAAAAAATACATATTTAGTGAAGTAGGTATTAGAATGTGGCCACATAATATGTAGTGTTTCTTTGTTCAAATATAATATGGAATGTGAGAAAAAAGCATATATCTGTTTACTATTTATTATTATCAATTCATTGAAACTCTATTGAACTGTATTGAACTTTAGCCTAACATTTAAATAAAATATGATAAGATAGAGAGGCAGAGTTGGTAATTAAAGAGTTATAGTATATGAGAGAATAACCTTGTGAAAAAGTAAGTTTTTAATTTGGTTATATTTTGGTTGCAGCATAAATGACTCTAGATTCTTAATCGAGGATAGACATAGGTTTCTATGGGCCACAGCATCCACTTATCATCAGATGCACTGTATGAAGTGTGAGTGTGTGAGAGAGAGAGAGAGAGGGAGATAAATGGAAAGTTAAAGAGAGATAGAAATAAAGTTTGAGAGACAGTATGGTAGCAGTGCCAGTCTGTAATGGCTATGAGGCATTCCATTTTAGTTGTCAAAGATGACAATGTTCATATTGCTTTTATAGAGCCTGGTGTGCTGGTATAGAAAAATAAAGATATCAGCTGAAAAGTTATTTAAATTTGCTGTAATTTGAAAAAACATTAACTTCCTAGTTTGAATATGCAGTTTAACACCACTGCCATATATGTGTTAAACTTTGAGTGCTCCAAATTATTCATTTCATACCGTTCAATAGCTGTGAACTGAGCTTTGTGGCATTCTTTGGGGGAGGCCTATGTTCAGCAGTGGACTTGTGAAGGGCTGTAATGATGATGAATAGCTGTGATGTTTCACTATTCAAACATCTTTATATTTATATGTAGTTATGTAATACACAAAAGTTAACAGTATTGCATAAAAGTTGCTGTTTTTTGCACAATAATAAAATTGGAACAATGGAAAAGCTAAGTCAATTACCTGCATAAATGGTCCTCACAAAGGTATTGGCATCTTTAACACCAATTATATCAGTTATTGGTGACACATCTAGTTTGGCTGCTACCCTGGGAAGCACTGCTTTGCCAAAAGCAGTAGCTGGTGCTAATATGTGTGTAAAACTAAACTGCTTTTGAGTGGCCAATATTAGAGGTGTTAATGTTTCAGCTGTGCAACCTTTGAAAACATCACTCTCTGCTACCAAAACCTTCGAAACTCCACTAGCCTTTGAAATCTGTTCAGCTGCCTTAAAACATAAAGAAGGCATAAAAAATATTTATTGACTTTCTATTTTGTATCACTTTGATCTTAGCCAAAAGGCCAAGTAGCGAGCCATAGTACCTCAAGGGCTAAGCGCTCGCTATAAATTTCACAGTATGCAGCAACCTGGGTTCGATCCCCGCCAGCTCCAATGAAATTGATAATTGCAATTTTAAGTGTTGATTTACCATATGCTCGGCAGTGAAGAAAAACATAGCGGTTGGATTTAGAATTGTTTGGCAGGAGTAAGGTGTTTTATTTGGTAGAGATTTGGTCCCCGATTATAATAATACCACTCATATTAAAAGGTAATGCACCGTTATCGAAAAAATAAATAAAAACTATTATAACCTAAAATGCGTAAAACATGGAAAAATTACTGTAAAAGCTGAATAGCATACAGAATTTTGTGTAAGTGCGACAAGGACGTAAGACTAGTGTCACATTATTCTACTATCCACACTCTCTGTCAAGAGGTATTTTGCTAAAGACAACTATAATAATAGAGAAAATTTTACTGACTAGATATGAATATTTATGGAGAAGAGAAATTATAAAGAATAAAAGGGATCCTTTTAAAGAATTATTAAAAAAAATTATGTTTACAGACAATAAAGAAATGATTATAATAAACTGTTTTATTTCTGAATTATTTAAAACTGCCCAGAAATACTTGAACACCCAGAAATAATTTCAGTTTAATAGGTTAGAAGGTTGTGGCGGGCGTGAAGGCAACCGGACTTTATAGATAAGATATTCTGATCTGATCGAATCTGTACTAAAATTAAACCAGCACTCCCCGACTCCACGTAGTCTTGTCTGCCCTACTCCTAGTGTTTTTGTAAAGCTGAAGCTGCGGAGGTGAGCATTGGTGCCTGTGATTCGCTACACAAGGGCAAAGGTGCTGCACTTCCCGCAGCGCCGAAGTCGTTGTAGAAGTAACTTTGGGTCAATATTCCAGTGTAAAGGTGAGGTTATGATTATACAAAAAACCCCTTACTCATAAACTATACTTTTCCACAACGAGGGCAAGGTAGATGGCCTTTCCCTGATAGGGCACACTCCTGCTACCCTCTTCCCCCCTCCTGCCGGAAGCAATAAATGTTACTTTCAGATTAGGTCTATGGGATTTTCTTTTTTTATTTTTCTCAAGAACAGTGTACTACCTTTTAATGGGAGTGGTGTCGGGAGTAAGGGGACACTCCCCCCTTACCCTCCCCTCATCCCCTTCCCCCTCCTCCTGCCAAACGATTCTAAATTTCAACCAAACATAGTGAGGAAACCTGCACGTTTGAAAAATAAGAAAAAAATTTATTTCCAAACATATGAAGTTCGCCAACATGCATTGGGGCAGTGCAGACGACACTTCCTTAGTTTAAAAAAGTACCTATTCTACATTTACCTTAAGTACTTACTACTCAACATTTTAGTAAATTTTGTACTAATAAATCAATTTTAGATATTGCACACTAATAAAGTATAATGATCCAAATCATTATACTTTATTATTATTAATTATATTATATATATTTCTGTTTCTGTTTCTGTTACAAATAAACACAACATAACAAGCTTTCTTGCTCTATTAATTGTATACACAAAGGAAAATAGAAGTATTTTACGTCATCAACCCTTTCTAAAGCTGATGCACACATCACTTTTAAATAATAATAAGTAAACAAAACAGCTATAAGCAAAGTACATACTGGTCCACATTTAGTGCCTGCAACAAGGACAGAGACATCACCACCAATCTTCTTTGCAGCACTTAAAATATTTTGAGTCACCGGCAATAATCCTTCGTTGTTATGTTCAGCTACAACAAGGGTACTCTGCAGTCGTCGAAGCTGCAAAAGTACATTTAAATTGAATTGCTGTGCTAATAAAAATAAGAATAAATTAATAACAAAAATATACCACACTAATTGATTTATTACATACTTGGGAAGAAATAAATAAATGTCTACTGCACGGAGAAAACATTTCTCAAATTCTTTCTACTTAATTTTAGTTTTGAAATCTTTTCTAAATTTTTAAAAGGAAGGTTACAAAGTCCAACAATCAAAGAGTATCCAACAATCTAAAATGATTTTTATTAAGATTTTTGGCTTGGATGCTTTACTTTTAAGCCATGTCTGGGGCCCTATATAAAGCCGGTATAGACCACGACCGAGGCAGTATTGAATTGGCGATATAAGCGAATACTTCGAAGTGATATAACTTCGAACTAAAGTGATCAGTAATACAATTGTGTTTTATTATTAGTGTGTTTTTGAGTTGTAATTAGTGTTCCGTAATTAAAGTGTCAATTTTGGTAATTCAATCGGCAGTTTTTAATTATCTCGAACCCCAAGCTCGTAACAATATATTGAAACTTCAGGCTCAGAAAGGCTAGATCCCAGAGCCATAAAGCCAGTTATTAAGAAGAAGACTTCCTGTACTTCTGTGCAATGCAATGGGATCAAAATAGCACAGAGTACATTATATTGCAAAATAGTATAGTAAATAATAAATACGTAAACGCAAAACTAATTAATAAGAAAAGACATAAAGCACCGCTAAGATTATCTGTGACTCAAAGCTCAAAGTAAAACAACGCGTGAATTTTAATAGTTAGTTTGTGGTTAAACATACATTACAATATAGCAATACGACATAGTAGTTTGCAGCTGCAGTAGTTTGTAGCTCATTTTGTCCAAAAACTGTATTGGGTGTTCTCTGCTGTATTGTATTTATTGATAATTTAATTTTAAAATGTCATCTTTACCCATTGTTTCAATCACAAGACGAGAAACATTTAGTTCTTGCCATAGATTACACAGGTAAAAAAAATTTTTTTTTTTGCAATTAATAATCAAAGAACTTAGGTGGTACACTCTTGATCTTATCACAACAAAATTCACCTATTTTATAGTTCCTCATTGTAGTAATCTTTACCGTTTAAAGGTCAAGTTCTGTTAATGTTATTACTTTGTTGCCTTTAATCATAAATGAGACAAATAATATAATCACTTAATTGGTTCATTAAATTAAAATTTTCTTTATTTTTAGTCAATTTTTAAGTGATGAAGAAAACAAAAAATTATATGGTAAATGCAATAATCCAAATGGACATGGACATAATTATGTTGGTAAGTATGTAGTATGTTTGTAACTTACTATATTTTAAAAATTTTGTATATATTAATGTGGAATTTTTTTTTATTAATTTATAACCACAAAATGGACCAGCTTGAGTATGCACCTTAGGAAGCTTGGACCTGTGTGAGCGCACATGTCTGATTATTTTGTATGATCAGCTGTGGACATTTGATAGGCTATGGTGGTAAGGTGAAATGAATTAATTTAATTTTAATATTTTTCGTTTATTAAATTATACACATTTTTATGAGCTATACATTTTTCACCTTTCAACAATGAAATATCATTTCTCCTTTAACAGCTTTTGCTTCTTTATCTGCCTATCTAGTGCTGTATATGAGGCTCTCTTATTGTTGAAGGCATAAGCTTTTGTTTAGCAGGTAATGATAGGTGAATTAGTAACAGCAGTATTGGCAGTTACACATTTTTGATACTGCTTCCTTTCACTGTTATATGTTTGACATATTAAGTATATATGGTATTACCAGTATATGCCTTGAGATCGTTCTGGCACATTCTCATCTTATATTATGAAATCTATGGAACAAATTTCACCATGGCACCATGTGGCTAAAAGAGCAATATAAAAATGTTTGTTTTTATTTCAGTTCTTGTGACAGTCAAAGGGCCAGTAGATCCACAAACTGGAATGGTGATGAATGTTCATGATTTAAAAGAATATATGCAATCTGCCATAATGGAACCACTGGACCATAAAAATTTAGATCAAGATGTAGCTTATTTTAAAACTGTGGTAAGAATTTCATTACTGACTTTCCAGTTTCGCTTTAGTTTTATGCCTTTATTTAGCTTGAGTCACTTACACTCGTTTGTTATCTCCCTACACTGGGCATGGAAGTAAGGTAGGGAATGTTTATCACAATCACAAAATCTTATAATAGGAATAACATCTCAGACAGACAATAATGGTGTTTTCGAGAGGGGTACTGTTAGCTTGAATTCAAGCTAAAATTCTAACAAAAAGGGCTATCTATATCTCCTAGTCATTAATTGTTATCAATTCCTCACAAAATTATGTCATAATAAAATTTAGGATATCGTTGGGGAGGATTGCATCTTGAAGCATGACAAGAACAAAAAAAATATGCTCTTTGATTATCTTAAATCTAAATAATGCTACATTAATAGATTCTAACCAGGCAAAGGTGGGTGGTTGCTAGTACAAAATAAGATACTGTCTTTATCCAATGTCATACATATTTCAATTTTTTATTTATTTAGCATTTAAGAAGCTTTACATCAACAATGTGACAACTGATACAATATCAGTATATTTATATGATTTCTAAAGTTTTATTATGAAATTTCCATTAGTCCATTTTTACAATTCTTGAATTAATTTTTGATAAGATATTTATATTATAATAATGAAAGCATTGATGGCAACAGACTGGTGCAAGGGCCAGCTGACCGCGAAGAATAGGGAAAATGGTGCTTCGTCCAACCATCTTTTGTTTCGCAACTCTACCTCAGGTGCGACGGAAAAGGGGAGAAGAGAGCCACCAGTGGGTTCCTCTTTGTTCTCCAAGCCATGCTACTACACCCCCACCTCCCACCCCCCGCCACGACGTTCCGGTCCCAGTCCCTTCAGCGGTGCCATGTTGACTGTCAGTATATCAAAGTGCTGAAGTGTTTGTAGAGTAGGGCTACAATGGCTATCCGAGTACAAAACCAGAGTACGAAACCTATCCATCCAACTGCAGAGAGGTGTAAGACAGGGTGATGTTATATCCCCGAAACTCTTCACTGCTGCATTGGAATACGTTTTCACACTACTGGACTGGAAAGGATACGGTATTAGCATCAATGGCGAGTACATCACTCACCTATGATTTGCCGACGATATAGTCCTTATGGTAGAATCGCTGGAGGACCTAAGCACTATGCTCAATGACCTCAATAGTCTCTCCCAACAGATAGGTCTTATGATAACCATGGACAAAATAAAAGTCATGTGTAACGTCCATGTCACACCTATGTCGGTAGTTGTTGGGAGCACTAAGCTTGAAGTATGTTTGCCTGGGACAAATAGCCCGACTAGGTACATCCAAATTCGATCGAGAGGTAATCGACGGATACAACTCGGCTGGGCAGCGTTTGGGAGATTACGACACATCTTCTCGTCAGGCATACCTCAAAACAAGATTGTTCAACCTGTGCATGTTGCCAGTGATGACCTATGGATCTGACATGTGGTCCTTCACTGCTGTATGAGCAAGCTCAAGGTTGCTCAGTGAGCTATGGAGAGGGCTATGCTCGGGATTTCTCTGCGTGATACTTTAAAAACTAAGATACGCAGTAGAATCAGATTAACCGTATGTCGGTTACCCAACGGGTTAGTAAGTTGAAGTGGCAATGGGCCGGCCATGTAGCTCGAAGAACCGACAACCGATGGGGAAGAAAAGTTCTCGAGTGGCAGCCTCGTGCCGGCAGGCGAAGTGTATTGCGTCCCCCCGCTAGATGGAGTGACGACCTGGTAAGACATGCAGGAAATCAATGGATGCAGGTGGCTCGAGACCATGCTTTCTGGCATTTCTTGGGGGAGGCCTATGTTCAGCAGTGGACTTGTGATGGGCTGTAATGATAATGATGATGATACATGTGATGGTAAGCAGTGACATCTATTGGACGTCACAGTTATATACTTTACTGAATAAAATTTTTTATTTTGCAAACTAAAGAATACTAATGATAAAATAACTTTATTTGCAGTTGTAGTTTAGCTATTTCTATGTTGTTACATAGCCGACGCAGAAAGTGTTATAGCTGCCATCCCACACCAGACCTCCTTTGCACACCCGTTTCACTTATCCCTTCATCGGTCACCAAAAATGTCCGTATAATGACGTGACGACCAATATAAAAAAGACTACAGATAATAAATGCTGCCTTAAGTCACAGATTAAAAACGCAAGTACCAAGTATTTTGGTAGAAAACGCAGTCAACCTATATGTCCGACGGTGTCAGGTTTTAGGGTTCGGAAAAACAACGTTTTACTCAGTAAAAGATGCAAATGTGCGTAGTTACGCCAGGAGTTATTTATATATTAAGAAAAAGTAAGTATACGAGTTATGAGCGTTATCGTCAAGCAGTTTTAGTGAGTGACACCCAAAATTCCGATAGAAATTGTCACCTATAGATACATGTTTAACACTAGAGTACACGTGCTCATAAGTACTCCTAGAACGCACGCGCGGGCTACTAGCCTAGGCCACTTGCAAATCATGTATTTTTCTAATTAGGCAAAAAAAACAATAAAACGCAATATATAGTCACTAAACATCTTTATTTTTATTATATTGCCACAATATCAATAAATATTAGCTTCATAATTTTTTTTTTCAAAAACAAACCTTAAAAATTAAAATATATTTGAACGGGTTGAAATCACTTGCCTTATTTTAAATTTAGAAAAAGTCGTATCGGTCCGGAAAAATCGCTGGTGGAAATCGATTCCACAAGGAAATTGTGCGAGGAAGAAAACTTCTAAATCGCACAGTGGTGGACCGCCAATCATCCAGATGGTATGGATGGTATCGCGAGTTTTGTCGCGATGTGCGATGGTGAAATTGGGCGGCTGGAATTAGTCCGAACAATTCCTCAGAGCACTCCCCGTGATAGAAGCGATAAAATACGCAAAGAGATGCAACATCTCTACGCAGTGCCAATGAGTCAAGCCGATCGGAGAAAACTCGGTCGTCGACGATTCGAACCGCTCTGCGCTGGATGCGGTCTAGTGGAAGGAGCTGGCACTGGGGTGCCCCTGCCCAGAGATGGGAACAGTATTCCATGTGAGGCCGAACCTGCGCCTTGTAAAGTTGCAAGCGGTATGCCGGCATGAAATACTGTCCCGCTCTACTGAGCACGCCAAGCTTTTTGGAGGCCAATTTGGCCTTCTCTTCCAAGTGAACACGAAACTGCACGTCACTCGATATATCGACACCAAGGATCCCGATACTGGCTGAGGCAACAAGGAGAGTGCCTTGAAACTGAAGAGATACGACAAAGGGGTTCTTTTTAGCGGTAAACGCGCAAACTTGTGTCTTCTGGGGATTGAACTGGACTAGATTTAGTCGACTCCAGTCTGAGACTTTGTTAAACAAAGTCTCAACTTCAGACACAAGTTTGTTCCGGTACTCGGCGACGTATTCCCGAGAAATATTGGCACGGCCGGTGTATAAAGCATCACCAGTGCTGTCGTCCGCATAGCAATGAATGCTACCAGTTAGCAACATATCATTGATATGCAGAAGAAACAGCACGCAGCCTTGTGGAACACCAGCGTTAATGGACTTGTAATCGGAGCATGCACTGTCTACTACGACCTTGATGCTCCGATCTGCAAGAAAACTGGTGATCCAATTGCACAATTTCTCGGAAGCCCATAGGAAGGGAGCTTTGAAAGAAGCGCTTTGTGCCAAACCCGATCGAAAGCCTTCGCTATGTCCAAACTAATGGCCAACGCCTCCCACTTGGACTCCACTACCACCGCCCATCTATGAGTTAGGTAACCTAAAAGATCACCAGCTGAGCGACCTCAACGGAAACCGTACTGGGGGTCACTAATCAGCTGGTGGTCCTCAAGGTACCGTATGAGCTGGCTGTTAATAATGGTTTCCATTACTTTGGAGAACAAGGAGGTGACAGCAATAGGCCTGTAGTTGGACGGATTTGAGCGGTCGCCTTTTTTAGGGATCGGGTGCACCAAAGCTGTCTTCCATGAGTTCGGGACTACGCCAATAGAGTAGGAGTACCGGAAAAGACTCGTTAAAACAGCACAATAGGTGGGACTCCATCAGGCCCACTCGACTTGTTGACGTCCAGGGAGAGAAGTGCTTTACGCACCGAGCGCTGTGTAAACAGCACTTCCTGCATGGAGCACTCACACTGCGCCATGGTCGGCGGTGTGTTCCCCCCGTTATCTAGAGTCGAGTTGGAAGCAAAAAGAGAGCCTAGCAGATCGGCTTTCTCTTTTGCGTCATGGGCCAGTGAGTCGTGCGCCCTGTGCAGAGATGGCAGAGATGGCTGACAGAATTTCCCTTGGACAGCCTTGGCGAGAGACCAGAAATCACGTGTTCCTGAAGGGAGGCGAACTAGTTTCGCCAATTCTGCCGATGTGCTCTGACTTTGCCTTGGTAATGACACTTTTGAAGGACCTGGAGGCGGAATTATACTTCTTTTTAAGAGCGCTGGTATTTACATCCCGGGACGTTGATGCGTCGGCCCAGGTTCGGTAGCACTCCTGCTTATAGCGTGATGCAATTTTGCAGGAGTGACCAAACCATGGCTGATTTCTGCCTCCGATAGGCACCACAGATGATGGAATAAATAATTTCATTCCCTGAAGTACCACATCAGCGACAGAATCAGCAACAACGTTGGGATCATCCGGCGCGAAGCAAACCCGCCCCCAAGGGTAGGATGCAAAAAAAGACCGCATCCCGTCCCAATCGGCCGACCTATAGTGCCAAACACGGTTGCAAGCTGCTGATCGCAATTGCGATTGGAGCGTGAGTGGCACTCTGGGCTCCTCCGGATCAGACAGGTCCGAAGAGCCCAGAGGGGCATCGACGGAGACCTGATATCCGTCCGGATGAGAGGTCAGCAGAAGGTCCAACAGGGAAGGTACATGATCCTCCACATCTGGGATCCGCGTAGGCGAAGTAACCATTTGTGTGTCAGACCATATGCCAAGGCAAAGTCATAAACAGATCTCTCCGCATTATCGGTTAAGCGTGAACCGAGCCATTCGGCGTGGTGGGCGTTAAAATCGCCAAGAATCTCGATCTCTGCGGATGGGAACTGTTGTAGCACGGAGTCTGCAGCCATTTGGACGTGGTCGATGAGTCGGTCTGTTTCGGCATTACCGCTATGGGACCTATAGAGGCACCCGTAGACGCGGGGATGGTCGTCGCTGTCTACACGCAGCCATAGAATGGACAGGTCCTTACCATCAAGACTGCCGAGGCGTCGAAAACAGATATTCTCTCTGAAGTACACGCAAACTCCAGCCCGGGGCACAAACGAGTGTTCAAATTTGTACGCCGGGTAGGAGAGATACGAAGTATCAGCCGGAGAGGACACCTGTGTCTCGGTTAGAAAGAGCAAGGCCGGCTTAGCTATCTCCAGATGGTAGTGGACGGCGTTAAACTTTGAATGAAGTCCCCTTATATTGCAGAAATCCACATAAAGCGTGGCAGGGGTTGCCCCCTCCCCCCCCCCCCCCCCAGAATACGCGGGGCAGCCTGAGCACCCACGCCCAGGAATGGAGTAGTTTGGTCGTGGATGCTCAGGGAGGGATTCTCTAGAAGTGCTGGTACCCTCCTGGGGTAGTCTTCTGTTCAATTCCGCTACCATGTTGATGGGGGGGAGGGGATTGGGCCTCCGGCCACCTGCACTCACCAAGAGGAACGCAGAGGTAAACCTCTACTTCACGCTGGTATTCTGTGAGGTCGTGGTACCACCCCGGTTCGAGCAGGCCCATCCGTGCGACAGCAGAAGCTGCCGCGTGGCTCTACCACTTAATGTGTATGGGCTAAAATGTTGTGAGATCTTGTTCTTGAAGTAGGCAGTGGAAACTAACCCTGTCTTGTACCATCACGAGTCTAATAGGAAGCTAAGCCCGACCGAGGATATCTCCATCATCATCCTCTTCACTTTCATGTTCTGTATCAACCGGTGAAGAGATCCTTGCTGTTCTACGACCCTTTGTTCGGCGAACCCTCTTTCCTCCTCACTTCCATTTAAAACGGCATCATTTTCGTTATCCCCTTGCAGTCATCTTTGTATTTGTTCATAAATTTATAGTAATACTAGAAGAATTATATCATATTCACCATAGTTTTATAATTTGTGCAGTAAATAAAAAAGCTTCCACGAACGCTCGCGTGGGCTACATTACGTAGCCCACCGAATTTAACGACAATATACTCCAGCGTCTGCGTATCGCGGGAGTTGACACACAACTGGAGGGGGAAAGGGGGTTTCGTTTGAGGAACAACACACGAAACTGGCGCTGTGGCAAGTTTATTTAAAAAATAAAGGAAAGTTTTATGCGTTGGGTTATATACATATGTAGCCCTCGCGTGCACTCTTAGTGTTAATACGACGTAGTCTTATTTAATTTTGGCAGGTAGTAGGTAGTTAATTTTGATAGGTTATATGAAAAAAATATTTAAACTTTAGTGGCATCAATTAAACAAGTAAACAAGGTCAGGTATTATTTTCGTAATTGCCCTTACACTGATAAAATGGCGTTTACAAGAGGAGTATTTTGTGTATAAACATGTTTTATCAATTTGCAGGTGAGCACAACTGAAAATCTAGCAATATTTATTTGGGACCAGCTACAAAAAGTAATGGCTAAACCTAATTTGCTACATGAAGTTAAAATTTTAGAAACTGAAAAGAACCATGTAGTATATCGTGGAGGAAACACATATCCCAGGAAGAAATTTAACTCTTCTAATCTCCATTCCAGTCACCATGACGTGTCTTCTGATTCAGACTGATAAAAATGTTTCTTTAATAAAAAATTTACTGGATTTATCTTATAATAATGATCTGCATTCCTTCTTATTTTTACCTTTATTGTATATCTTTTTAATTTTTTTTTAATATCAGTGATGGAGGGGATGTAAATTGACATTTACTGAAATATTGTAAACATGTAAGTTGTTAAGTTTTTAAGAAATAAAATTCTTGCCAAATAAAATGTTTATTATGAAACCATTGTCACCACATTGTTAATTAACCTTTATCAAAATTAAGTCTTTTTTTATAATAACATTTTACATACAGGTTATAAGATCAAATATGTCAGTTCTTTATTAAATGTAACTAATCACACAAATATTAAGGAAAAATACACATATCTAAAGAACAACAGTTTAGAAAAGAACAATGAACCAATTGCTGTTTTTTGAGCGTTTATTATAAAAGTAAATTATATTTACAAGATTACAGTTATATACCTACTCACAGGCAAGACAGGCTGTGCTAAAAATCTCCAGCGGAGGTTATTTGGATTATCTGGGGTTCGAAAACAAGGGAACATGGTAAGTCTCGATTGCGATCGATCATCTGTCCCAAGGAGGTATCGGATATTTACAAGGCTCTTATTATGAACGTGGTCAAGATCGGGTTTGTTTAATACAACCCTTGCTGTGTTTCGTATGGTGAGTGTAGAGAACCGGACGCCCATTTTACTGGAAAAGAGGCATTCTATGTTAATTCTCATAGGTGAGAACGCATCTGCATTTTGATTCTTTATTGAGGATAGATGTGGATGTCTATGGGTCACAGCAACCACTTACCATCAGGTGGACTGTGTGATCGTTTGTCACCCTATCCTATAAAAAAAACTTGATACTCAAATCACTAGATGATATCCGTTGAAGATTTTTATTTTTACGTTACGTAACTTTGGCAAATCCCTGTTAGGAGATGGATATCTTTAGAGCCAGAATTTATCTAAAAACCACGTATCTGTGGGCATAGCTTAAAATTGTATATGTTAAGCAGTGGACTTGTGATGGGCTGTAATTATGAGAAAATAAAATTTAATGTATAACATGGTGTAATGTAGAGTGCACAATAAAATCAAATAAGTATATTAACAATGAGTTTGCTAACTTTTTTGGAAAAGGGCATAGATATTTTTAAAGTAGTATCTAAAATTAAATTACTAACCATCGCATTGTTGGAAGCAAATATCTTTGCCAATTTTTAGAAGCATTTTAGAATTTTTAGAAGAATTACCTCAAGTGTGAAACTGTCATAATTCTACCAGGAGGAGCAATACTTCTACATAGAGAAAAAAAAAACGTTCAAAATCATTATGGTTCATTGCTCTTTTCTTAGATGAAGCCATTAGTGCTATAAAAGTATTTTTAGGTGAGATTGCTAAGTCTAATTGAGGTTCACATCTTATGCTTATCAATTCACTGCTACTATCTACTATATGCTAGATTACTGGTAAATGCATACTAAGCAGTGACTAAGATTTGAATACAATTTTTTTTTGTAGTTTATCAATCAAGATCATCAGCTTGTGAGTAATAAATAAAAATTAAAGTGAAAAATACACACAAAATATTATTATAGATTAGCTTGCAGTTACTATAGAATCTATGCTATAATATATACTATAAAATAAATACTATAGAATCTCTCTGCCGTTACTATAGATGAATAGCCCTATCAAAACACAATAAAAATTATGTACAACCACCAATATTCCTAAACTCTTGTACCACAGACTAACTAAATTAATTATTATCAGGTAATTACATATCACACACATACAATCACATTTACACAAATTATCTGTTTCAAAAACTAAGCTAATATACATAATATTATCAAATAGCTATGGATCATGAAGTCAGCGGTAATGACAGTCGATAACTTTAAACTTAATAAATACATTGCACATTATAATTATAAATATTATTAAGTCTATGAAACATCACAGATTGGCACTAGAACTTTAATAAATCACAATGAACTATTGATAAGTTCTGTAATGTGATAAAATCGCAAAGAAATACTGTTTAATTAGTAATGTGTGCGCTCTAACAATTTTAAATTTCAACATATTATACAATACTTTTCTATATTGTAACTTATACTCTGTTGCATATAAAAAACAATAATATTACAGTTTATAAATTAGGGTCGTATTCCACCAGAGCTGTGCGAAGTACCAACGGTGCGAGGATTGTGGCGATTGACTCAAATAAAAAGTGTAAACGATTCTGTATATTTGCCATCAGTTCTCCATTATACTTTTGTAGTCAAGTTTTAACATTTTTTATAGAAGGTACATTGTCACTTGATTAGTATGTGGATCTGCTTACAAAAAAGTCGCTGACAACAGATAATTATCAAAAATATTTATTACAGGTTTTCAACTGACTCGATACTAAAACTGTGACTAAAAAGGCATAAAACTTGTAAATTGGCGTCCGAAGCAAATTGATTATGACGGCAACGATTTGTGGTATGGTATTCTTTAATGTAATTTAAAATGTGTAAAATTCTAATTGTACCTATAGACAAATAGTCCGACTAGGTAAGTCCAACTTCGACCGACAGGTCAATCGACGGATTCAACTCGGTTGGGCAGCGTTCGGGAAATTACGGCACATCTTCTCGTCAGGTATACCTCAAACCTTGAAAACGAGACTGTACACCCAGTGCGTGTTGCCAGTGATGACATACGGAACTGAGACGTGGTCCTTCACTGCTGGCCGGATGAGGAAGCTCAAGGTCGCTCAGCGTGCTATGGAGAGGGCTATGCTCGGAGTTTCTCTGCGTGATAAACTTAGGAATGAGGATATCCGCAGTAGAACCAGAGTAACCGACATAGCCCAACGGATTAGTAAGCTGAAGTGGCAATGGGCCGGCCATATAGCTCGAAGAACCGACAACCGATGGGGAAGAAAGGTTCTCGAGTGGCAGCCTCGTACCGGTAGGCGAAGTGTAGGGCGTCCCCCCACGAGATGGAGTGACGACCTGGTAAGACATGCAGGAAGTCGATGGATGCAGGTGGCTCAGGACCGTGCTTTGCGGCATTCTTTGGGGGAGGCCTATGTTCAGCAGTGGACTTGTGAAGGGCTGTAATGATGATGATGATGATGACCTATAGACATTGTTGAAATAGGCATCATAATATTTTGGCAGCTTCTTGATTTTCTCTATTACGAGTACTAAATGAATGGTTAACAATAAATTCTTTACAAAATTATTATTTTTTATTTTGTAGTTACCTACTTCAGTTTTTCCTACTCATTGGACCTTTTTAAACGTCTCGAATGAACCTACAAACCCAATGGTGAAACCTGGAACAAAATCCGTTCTGAAGTTACGGAGAAAAACGTAGCTTGTGTCTAAGACATAAATATTAATTGATACATTTATTTATTGTATGGATTATATTAAAATTGTACATAAATAGAATGGTAGGCCTAGGTATAGCATTTTATCATAATATATTTTGTCACACTGTCCTATCTCTGTTATTAGTTCCGTGGACGCTCACTTCTGCTGTCAGCGCCAAAATGGCGAAAATCAAAACGCCTCATTATGTTATAGTGTATAGATGGCCCAACGTACTTGTATAATAGATATCAGTGTATGCACATCATGTGTATGATTTAGTATACTATATCTATGCAGATATAGTATACTAAATCTATGTTAGTGTGTAACATACATACAAAAATATACGAATTGAGCACCTCCTCGGTCTTCGTAGCATGCTAATAAAGCTATATTATTGGTGAATTTTTCTTATCACAATTTTACTTCCTCACACAACTCTGGTAAAAAGCCTAAAGCATTGACAGTTTAAATATAATATAAATAGAACTATTTGGAGTCATAATTAATATTAAAAAAAATCATAGAATGAGTGTTATATATGCATGAAAGCCAAATAAGTATCATCGCTATTTAATAAAGATGATATATTATATATAAATATCCATATAAAACTCTGAACATCACAGCAGCCTTTACTCAAGGCTAAACAAGCGAAATGACAAAAAAACTTCTAATTCCATATACAATCCATCTTGATACTAGAAAATATGAGATTAAATTGGCAACCTAAAATTGCAAAAAGTTTATACACACATATATTTCTTTGATTAAGCATATAAAAATTTATAAAAGTATATATTAAGTTCTTTAAGGGTTCACCCAAACCTATATAGCCAAATTTCTATCTTTTTTGCATGGATGTTTAAAGGTTATGTAAGGAATACCCAATTCGAAATCGTTTCTGGGCCAGTATCGTAGCTGTGGCCTTTGTTCCGGTCTCTCGTCGAACACGTTGAAGTAAGCGAACAGCACCAGTGCTGTATAACTTGCGATAAAAATAAGGATGTGCCACACTCCATGCAGGTAGGGAAAGTCGATGGAAAGCCACGTGTCACAGAACATTCGGTCAATGATCCAGCAAAACATTGCGAGAAAACAAACTGCTACGCAACGCAGCCCTAAGCGATACACGCGAGCGCATTTTACTCTGAAACGAAATTAATTTATCATTGTTAATAGTAATTTGTCCGCAACAAATGAAATAAATACCTACTGTACCAATGATTATGAAGTTAAAACATATTTAAATAGTATTACAAAAAAATCCAAAAAAAGTGATCGTTTGCGTGATATATTGTGAAACCTGTCGGAGGCATCAGACTGAAAAGGAAGGCAAACAAGTTACAAATGATTCACATAATGTGTAATATAATCAACGCCAAGTTTTTTATTTCAACAAATTATTATTATAACCTAACTTTGTTGCCAAACTTTTAATTACACCTTTTTTTATAAGATAAGGATGACAAACGATCACACAGTTCATCTGATGGTAAGTGGTTGCTGCGGCCCATAGACATCTACATCTATCCTCGATTACAAATCAAAATGCAGATGCGTTGTCACCCGTGAGGACTAAGTTGGAATGCCTCATTCCCAGTAAAAAGGTTCTCCGGTTCTCTACACTCACCATACGAACCACAGCAGCGTTAAGCTGCTATTTTACGCTGGTATTCTGTGAGAGCGTGGTCCTACCCCGGTCGAGCCGACCCATTCGTGTTCAAACTATCCTACTAATATAGCTGCAGCATGGCTCTACCACGTAAAATGACCGGAAAACCTAAGAGACTCCTTCGGATTTAGGTGATAAATTGCTCTTATGGCTCTTTTTGCAAAACAAAGATAGTTTCAATCTTTAAACTCTTAAAGAAAAAAAATATCCTAAATGGCATTGACCTACTAGTAGGTCAATGCTAGATGGGATATTTTATCAGCCTGGGAGTCGGTTTGGATAAGTACAACCCTTATAACGTGAACTGCTGTGACCTAAGGCGTAAGTGCAACCAGTACAATTTCAGGTTATGAGACATTCCATCGTAGTCTTGGAAACACGTACATCTGTAGTGTTTTCTAGTATGATAAATTTGTTACAGGATTTTTTGGGCTGTAGTAATTTATCTTAATTTAGAATCACAGGGCAACTAACACAGTGCTAAAAAGTCATCGTTTTGATTCTGTAGTCAAATAGTTCTTAGTTTTGTTCAAAAATGATAAAATATAATAACGCGTGGAAAGTCTAAAGCAGTAGGTTCAAAGTGACCGTAAGGTTATTTAAAAAAAAATTACGTTACCCATATAGTAGGATTTCCTCCTGTATCGTGGAGGCAGTTTACATACATGAATAACCTACACAACAACACAAAGGCAGGTCTGGAACAATTATTTGTAGGCCATACTTGTTCCGTGCGGAATTTGAAGCCGTGGACCAAACGCTTTGCCACTGCGCTAGTTGCTGTCATTGCTAAATGCTCTCGACCGCGTCGTAAACACTCACCGATGAAGTTCTTTGTATAAAAAGCCGAGAGCCGGTAGCGCCAATGTCATCAAAGCGAACGCGTTGGCAGCCGGGTGCATCACCAGGAAACCGGTGGACATCACCGCAAAGACGCTGGCATAAAACCCAAGCTTCCTCCTGGAAACATACAAAAAACAAGACAAATATAAACCTCGCTTTAAATTGCATAGTACCTTCGCGAGTTACACATGCTTGCTACACCAGCATTTGTTAATTGCTTGTTACACGCTTGGTAGTAGAGGGGAAAATCACTTTGTGAGCCAATAAGTTTGAAAATAATTTAAAATTAAAAATTTTGTACGGCCGACTTCAATATAAGTTATTAAGTATAACTCAAAAACTATTGGTCGGACCTTGATCAAATTCACATGGGACGACACGAAGAAGTACAAGCTTTCAAATAAAAAAAGAATCGTCGAAATCGGTTCACCTAGTAAAAAGTTATGAGGTAACACAAATAAAAAAATACAGTCGAATTGAATACAGTCTCCTTTTTGGAAGTCGGCAGAAAAAAAAGAAGACGAGTGAAGTCCGCCAACGCGTAGAACAACATTTAGGAGAACTCCATGTTTCTCATAAATTTTATTTGAATTTGGTCTTAATAATGGAAGGAAATTTTGTATTCTGCAATAAGGCAAAGATTGACCGTGTAGTAGTGATGAATATCCACAACCTCATCGTCCAGTGGGTGTTGTAAGAGGCGACGGATGGAAACAAACCAGGAAATGGGCAGCACTACATTATCTTCCTCATAACAAAAAACATGCGTGAGTGTCGTGGAACACTCGGTTGGAACGAAGTTCCTTTCGTAGTATATTATTATTGATTAACAAATACAAATAAATGCATTACTAGCGTCTATAAAAAGAAGCGTCACTTAAAATAAAATATGGCAAGATAAGAAAAAGTGCGAGGGAGATGCATATTCTATCTCGCTTCCTTATTTCGCCGCCAAGGCCGTCTACACCATGTCAGCTGGGGTCGTGACGGAAAAAACTTACACTTTTTGTCGCCTAGCCACCCGATAAAGAACTTCGTTCCAATAAAAAATAAAACTCTAGTTTCCAACACGCTTGTCAAGCGTGGCAACTATGGCAAATATCCCAAATGTCATATAATTTATGAAGAGGCCTATGTTTAGCAATGAACTTATATAGTATAGACTAATGAAAAGAGGCAAGGATCTTCGTATTTCTGAAGATAACTGATGAGCTCACGGTTGTCGTAATGAAAGAAAACCAGAAACATAACTTTTACATGGGAGATTCTTGTTTATCAGTTCATAACAAATAACAATCCATTGTTGGACGTAGGCCTATTTAATGAGGGCATCCACGACTTTTTCTGCCACCAGGGCGGCGCCACTAGAAAGTGAGGTATAATATTTGACAGATTTCATAGTGGGGAAGTTAATTTGTTCGCAAAATGTAAAAGTTATTGTTTCTTTTTGTACTATTAGCTATATTTTATATTAATAACATTAAAAATAAATAAACCAAACCACAGATATTCATAAAAGTAGAAAAATTTAAAATGTGCAAAAAATTAAAGAGCAAACCACTGCCGCATTGTTTTGTGTATTAATATAATAATCTAGAAACTGATAAACTTTTATTAAAAACACAACATCTCAATTATGACTTTGTGTAACAAAAAACTTTACCTCAGTGTCAACTAGCGACATTACTTGAAAGATTTCCCACAATCACGACGGTGTGGCGGCGTAAAAGAGTCTACTACCCCATATCATCACGTTTTTACGTGGTAGAGGCATGCTGCAGCTATATTAGTAGTATAGTTGTAGCACGAATGGATCGGCTCGACCGTGGAATGACCACGCTCTCACAGAATACCAGCGTAAAATAACAGCTTAACACTGCTGTGTTTCGTATGGTGAGTGTAGAGAACCGGAGACCCTTTTGATGCAAAGAGGCATTCCATCTTAGTCCTCACGGGTGACAACGCATTTGCATCTTGAGTCTTTATTGAGGATAGATGTAGATGTCTATGGGCCACAGTAACCACTTGCTATTAGGTGGACTGTGTGCTCGGTTGTCACCCTATCCTATAAAAAAAGGTATGCTTATTAAGATTAGAGGGAAATAAAACAGGGCATCGGCATCAGCATACGAGTATACTTACATACAACTCATACAACTAACTACATACAACTTAAAAAAATCTGCGACTGCCAACCCGCCCGCCTAGCGTGACAACTATGGCAAATGCCGCTATGAGGCAATCTATGGGGGATACCTGTGCTCAGCAATGGACTTCGATGGGCTATTAGCCTAAAAGTAACGGTTGGCAGATGGTTTTGCGATCGTAGAACCAAAACCACACTTGACGCTAAAATTACGAGATAATATACCGCCATCTTTCGGAGGTCATGAGGTCTTTAGCTAGTAGGTCTAGGTCTTTTTCCATATTCGCCGATTATAATATGCTAGATAACCTGGGGTGGTGGATTCCCGTACACAGCCACCATACGACACAGTGTAATAGATTCCACAGAACAATAAAAATACCTAATCCATTGTAGACCAGTAAACCTACAATACAATATTATGTTTTATAGCATGATCCAGAATTTGACGCATTTTGCAACTTCTTAGAATGAAGTTACTTTTTAACTAGCCTAATCGCGCAGCTTCACTTGCGTGAAATTCAGGTAATAATAAAGTTGTAGTGCTCAGGAGAGAGTTTCCCTTCTTTTATTGGGAAATGCCGCCTCGCGAGGGCTCGCGCCGGCTAAAACCCAATGGCGTGCCATCTTCGGGTTTTCCTACAGCGAGTGCGCCTGTTACTTTACTATATGTTACACCGTTTAATGAGCAGAAGCCGACAACAAAGCAGCCAATCAGTTCATCATATGTCCCTAACTTGACTTTTGTAAGATGTACAAATTTCATAGTGATCTTTTTCTTTTAGACATTAACCATTCGACTAAGGATTCAAATTTTGTATTAACATCAAACCTTGACAAAGTAAACTGATCAATAATTCAGTAAATTATCAAACTATGCCCTCGGCAAGTGGATGATTGCACATGAACCGATTAACATTTTGATACAAGCCGTAATACCTGACATTAAACACAATAATCAACAAGGCTAATCGTATCCGCCGAAACTTAGGTATAGTTTTAATGTTTGCCTTTATTCTTCAATCAGTACAATTTTCGCAAATAGCGAAATAGGTTACGATGAAATGAAACGAAATATATTATTTTAAGCACTTCATCCGTGTTGGAAAAAAAACGGCTTCGAATTTTTTGACAATGCGTTGTATAGTTATAGCAGATGGACGAATGGTTTGTTTTAAAACGTTACCTCTACAGTAGGAATTTCTTCAGCATAGGGAAGGCACTTTAAATACACAAATTCCACATGGATAACCATTCAGACCTAGAAGAAATTTTAGTAGGCCAATAAAAATATACTTGTTCCGTGCGGGTTTGAAACCGCAGCCCGTAGCGCCGCAACAAAACTTTTAACTACTGCGCTACTGGGCCGTTAATGTCATCTGTTTGATTGCCGTAATAGACTAGGAGATGGTGACAGAAAATAGTCTCCCATTTTCTCCTGCATGCCTTTTTAAAAATTGATAACTAACCCTAAAATATGAAAGAAAGAGGGGTTACTAGCCCTTGCGCGCTTGCACTTCATAAAGAAAATGGCTTCTCTTTGTGTAAAGAATTTTAGTATTTTTCCGTGACATTATATTGCATGCCTTTGTAATATAACGTAGTTGGAACAAATTTAAGCTATAATAAATGATGGCATGCTATTCACAACGGCCGACGGGACTCAAAGGGTTAAATAGAAATGAAAAAAAAAATAGAATATTTCCGTGTTTACAAATTGCATGCCGTTGTAAAAAGTTTTTTTTTATCTCAAAAATACTCTACGTAAATTCGCATGCACCCCTCGTATGACCAAGGGTGGAAAATATTAGGAAAATGTTGTGAAAATTCAATACAAAAATGTTACAGATAGGAATTTTTATAAGAACTAAACCGCCGCGCCAGGCCGCTTGGCGATTTAATTCTCTTATAATCGGATCGTTTAGGTAAATAATGGTTTAAAGTGGATTTTGATACGTTAAAGTGGTGTTAACACATCGCACAACTTTACCGTTTAAATAAAACTGTTAGTGGTAACGACGATCCAAGTGCTCCAATGTTGATATAAATCGCAATTATGTTCGCTTAGGCGCCTTTAGGACTTTAGATACTGTCGTCATTAAAATCTTCCAAAAACTCCCCAATGTGACGCTGACGCTTCAACATATGGTAAATAAATTTTTAAACAAATTATTATTTATAAAGATTGTAGAGTTATTTCATACTAGCTGTTCCTCGCGACTTCGCCCGCGTGTAATTTAGGGTTGTTGCGCGGAACCCTAATTCTTTTTCTAAAATATAAGTAGCCTAAGTTACTCCTTATAACATCAGCTATCTGCCAGTGAAAGTCCCGTCGAAATCGGTCCAGCCGTTTCGGAGATTAGCCGGAAGAAACAAACAGAAAGACACAAAAATTTTGAAAATTATTTTTGTTAGTACCGTATATAATTTCATATGCATTTAGTAAATAGCTGGTATTTTGACATTACAAACAGACACTTCAGTTTTATTTATTTGTATAGATTACTTGACACTGGCAAACGTACAATCGTATGAGTCCATTAACAAAGAAAAAAACAACTTTAATAGACGTTTTCAATAACAGCTATAAATACTTCTTATCATGTTAATGTTAGTAAGGACGATGTATATCATAACAGAACAGGAATAAATATATAAGATAAAGCGCAATTTAGCACAATCCGTTCGTACGCACTCCACGCACTTACGAATACAGATAACGAAACAAATTATTATACTTCTTTGTAAAAAAAACATGTTAAAAACCAACCTTATGGCTAAATGTCTACCACCGTGTACTTTTAATAAAACTATTTTTACGGATTTTATCGTGTTTAATTAACTTATTTTATATTCCCGACGTTTCGGGGGACTGAGGTGATTGACGTCCCGATGTCAGTATTATACCGGAGTACCTTCAGCTTTTTTAATTAATAATTTTTTAATTAAAAAAGCTTTTTTAATAGCGATA